ACAAGCTTAGCAAAGCACAGGGACCACGGTTCAATCCCCCAGCACCACATGTCAGCCCGCCCTGCCCCCTGGTGGGCTGAGCTGGCCACACACACACACACACACACACACACACACTAAAATAAAATAAAATAAAAAAAAAACTTTAAAAAAATTGGTTTCATTAGGTTTTGATTCAGATGGGATGGTTCTAGGGGATAATTCCCATGATATGAGGAGATGAGAGATGAAAGATTTTATGACACAAACAGTAACAATGATGATAGTGATAAAATAAAAATGGCTTTGAGAACATGGGCATTAAATACATATTAATACTAGGGGAGATGTTTCAAACAAAATGAATACCTCAAAACACAGTACAAGGGGCAAACAGAATTTCATCCCAATGAAAGCCAATCTGTCCTGCTGAAAAAGTACAAACCCCATTATTAAAGGGCACAATGGGACGGTTCTATGGAGAGCTAAGATAAACTACCCTTGGGAAAAAAGTGCCTACCATTCAGGTAAATTTTCTCCTCTAGGGAAGGCCAGGAAAGAGTCTATTCACTTCATGTGGGTGGACACACTTGTCCCAGGAGGCCATTTTATTTACTGCTTCTTCCTACTGGATCAGGCTCATTTGTTTTTATATCTCAAATCTATGTGAAGTTGTTGCTCACACTGTGTTATTATAAAACACCTTTCAGTATGCCATCAGTAAAATGGAGTACTCTAAATAAATGTTCTCTTAGGGTAATAACTCCTTAATATAAACCGCATTTAATAAAACTTGTAGTGATTCCAAAAAGGAAAGGGTAAGGCGTACTCAGAGAAAATGTCTACAAGAAATTTGCAATTAATATTTTACAAGACATTTAGATTCCACAGATTCCTCCTAGCTGTTAAAGTTTAAGAGCTTTTTCAAAACTGTATTCCTCACTGTTATTACATCCTTAATTAAATTAATTTACACAGTGAATGCTCTAATGATATTGCTGTAGATTTTCAATCAAAAAGCCTCATCGCTAGAGACAATATGTGTTAAGATCTTAGAAAAATCATGACATAAGACATGGTTCCAGCATTGGTAGAAAGGTATTTGGCCCTGACACCTGATTATTGCAAAGGTCTTGCTGATTTTTTTATGCTTCAATAGAAGTCTTTTATTATATTTTACTTTTTCATTGAACTAAATTAGTCAATGAAAACAAAATAAATCTTCCAGGTTGCCTTCACAAGGATTTCTTTCTTTCCTGGACACATTATGGGAGACACAGACCTATCTACTGAACACCACCACCACTTGGTTTCGCCTATGTGAAACCCTTAATAAAGGAAGCTAAGTTTGTTACACCATCAAAGCAGAGGCAACCAAAATTTGTTCAAGAACACAAAAGGCCCAGCTGTGGAAAGAGGACATCTAATGATGCTGCACTGAATTGAACATTCCAGCCTTTGCAGACAGTTAACCACCATATTCCCTTCAGGCTACTAGAGCACTACTAACCAGGATGTCAAGGGTGTATGTGTGTGTGTGTGTGTGTGTGTGTGTGTGCACGCATGCGCACATGCATGTGTGTGTACAACTGGCATTCTTTCACAACTGGAAAAGCAGAAAAACATAAAGTGAGTATAAACCAATTTCCTATCCACTACCCATCCTCCTGGTGAGACCAACTAGAAGCCTCATCAGGCTGGATCTTGGCTATTTCAGGCTAACACCTAGCTGTTCCTGGCCTGGATCAAGCATCCAATAATCATTTGAGACTTATCATTCTCAAGAAATATCAGTAATTAATGGGCACTGTACCTAACACTTAATCTATAGCCCCCCAGTTCAAAGAAACCTTTTCTAGAGGAAAACTTTATCAAATTAAGGAAAATAATTCCTAGCTTCTCATTCTTGGCATTCTGTGTGGAGATGTTGAATTTGCTCCTTTTGTTTGTACTGTTATAGTTTGAAGATTTATGCTGAACATTTCAGAAGATGTACAATCCAGTACCTTAGTTATAACAGATGAGGAAGGCTAGAGAAATGTATCCCCAGTCACTTGGCACTGACTGCCCAGGAAAGCTCTGATTCTTCACCTTAATTCCCCCGCCCTTCCCCCAATGGCCCATTTAAAGGTCTCTAAGGTATGATATGGAAAGGAGTGTACCTTTAAATCAAGACCAATGCACAGACACTTTCAACTGCATATAGACAGTCCTAGCAACTTGGTTTTCTCTCCTGTACTAACCATGGTCTTTGTTTCTATGATAGGAATATAGCACATAAAAGGGAAAGAAAACTCCTAAAAATTAAGTTTGATCACATGACAAAGCTCCTTAAGATACAAAAATATCAACTGCAAAAGAAAAGTACACTGAAACCCCCCCAGCACCATTTGATGTTGTTATAAATGGGAAGTTTTGGACATTTTAGAAAAAAAGGTAGCAAGTGCCTTTCTAATGGATTTTATCTGCAGGAAAATGATTACAACCAGAAAAGCTTTAAAGTGTCAGCTGGTGATGCATTTTTCTTTATCCCTTTTATTTTTATTCAGAAGGAAATTGAAGGCATATGGCAAAGTGCATCATTAATTTCTTATTAATTTCATAATAGGAAGGCAACTAGTTAAAATAGTAGTGCTACAACTTTAAATTACTGAAGTAACTTGGTATTTAATGAGAGATTTAGCACAGCAGGGGTTCTGTTAAATTAAGTTATGCCTTCACATCACAGTAGGAAAACAGGTGTATATTGGTTTAGAATTATGGAAATGTTGACGAATTGCGAGGCTTGTAATCAAACAGCAAGGCTCCCTGTAATATATTTTTTCCAAGAATATGCATTAATCTTTTATGTTGGGTCCCATTTCTTCCTGTCCACCAAAGGCTCACAGTTGAAAGGCAACCACTTTCATGTTTTTCCTGCAGCTGTTAAGGGTGATGTTTATCAGATAAAGCAGCACATAAATGCAAGATGTGGAACTCTGTCCCTATTTGTCACATTTGAAACAGCAAATGGAGCAAGTATATATATTGTGAAAGCTATGAGCCTTACAAATTAGATCTGACTTTTCAAAATTTTGTTTAGCCTGCCTCAAGTAATTGGGTATATGATATTGAATTGGCTAAAAAGAAACCAAAAAACAATCTATCCATCACCTTTTCCTAACTCCTAAATTATTGCTCTTAGTAATGCATCTCCAAAGCCTTCACTTCTAAATTTCACATGCCGAAGTTTTAGGAAGAGGAAAAAGTACAATATTAAAAAAATATGTATAGAAGGTATTATTTGTTTGGTAAGAAAAGGGAAAGAATAGAATATACCAAACAGAAACATATTCTCTAGCCATTCTATGTATTTCAACATCCCCTGTTCAAACTATAAGTTTCTAGAAATCATCTTGACACAGGAATAGGGCATGCTGGGAGCTGTGCTTCTAGTATAGGAGATGCATCAAAATTAACCAAACTTTGCATTAAGTTAAAATATGATGCTATCTGGCATCAAACTATATCATATACCTTGCATGGTAAATAATGAGTCATCGCAAGTACTTTTTTTTAACATACCAAGGGGGAATTTTGTGTGCTAAAAAACATTTATTTTTAGGAGAAGGAACATAAATCAGTCTTTTCATTTAATTAGGAGCTTGGAAAATACAAATTATTGCCTTCTATTGTTGTCTGGGCCAGTAAATATTTGCCATGATTGCTTCACTCAATAATGTGACCTACCACTGCAGTCTTCTAGGATTATGTTGGAAAAATTCCATTTACCTGGAGAAATAAGCTGAAATACTACTATTTTAAAAGTCACTAAGCAAAGCACTTAGACTTAATAAAAAAAGCAGCCTTACTAAAAACCCCCTTGGAAGTTTCAGGGAGAAGTAGTTAAATTAATTAGGGAGGGATCATTTTGGTATCACACACTTACTTTTCTTTGATTTGCTCTGATACAAAGAGAAAACCTAAGTAGCATGATGTAAGATCAAGGTTCGCAATTTATTGCTTGAGTGATTAAAAGGCTTAATATTCTGAAAACATTTTGCTGAACATTTTACAACTATAAGTATAAATTTTCAATGGCTTCTGAGTATATGAGGATACAGTGCATCTGTGTGCCCATGTTAGCATGCACGTGTATGCAATTACACACTTTAGTATATGAGTACAGACAGAGAAAATTGACACGAAGTTAGAACCATACCCTGAAAACAGTGTGGGCATTATTTTATTTTGCTTTTACTTTTACTAAACCAAGTTTCAATAACTTCAATATCATTGCAACAATACATACCATGATATTGAGTGAACTCATCACTGATATTTGGGAAAATATAAAAACAGCACAAAGAAATTTATACTTACATGGAATATATAGAAGTGCCACAAAATCCCTTAAAATAATTTATTCTGATAAAGTTGCTTTATGCAACATCAGTTCATTTCTACATTGAATATTACTGGGAAGGAAATGGAAAAAAACTGTAAGCTTTGTATTTTCTGTTCTGTAGCAACATGAAGCCACAAATTGGACATTAAAACATTGACTTTGTTAACCACCATTGACTGTTTAGAAATCATTAGGAGGCTTAATATTATGGCTGTACAGGGTACATTTTGTTCTTTCAAAAGAAAATCTAAAGACCAAATTTGAAAAGGGGCTCCTGGTGAGTAAAAGCTTTTCCTTTTCCATTTGCTTCACTTGTGTGTGTTGGGTTTTTTTTTTTTTTCCTTTTAAAATCTTAGCCCACCCAATAGTCTTTGGCAGGCACTATACCCAGTGGGGTCACTCTGATTTTCTAACCAGGGGACATGCAATTTGAGAGCTCTTCCCATCAGTGTTAATGCCAGCTTCTTTATGGCCTGGCCAGCTGGTTTGGCTGCTGTAGGGAACAGAGGGGTCAGCACACCCCTCAAAAGACCAAAGTCATTTTTGGCACTAAGAACCCATAACTAGAACCTTCAGTTGAAAGGACCATTTTCAAGCAATAAAGTGATTTTGGTACAAAAGTAAACCGACTCACCCCAGGTAAAGTTTTAATATTGTGCAGTGCATTCTGGGCTTCAAGTGCAGCTTTTCTTGTATAAAATGTTACGAAACAACAACCTACAGAGAGAAATGAAAAGATTTTAGAAATTTCTGTGAATGCTTTGCTTAGATATATTGGAGACTGCGGTGAACAAATAATCTACTTAAAAGGATGCACAATTTAAAAATAATAAAGTACATGAGAACAGTAATAACAACAGCTCAAGCATTTACACAGTACTTTTCATCCTAAATCATGTCTGTTAGCTCTACCCACGCTGGAGATCAGTGCCTAACGCTGTGCACCAACTGTCTGGAACACAGCTATCCAAGACTGAGGGTGGGGAATGGTGGTGTGAGGATGAGGAGTTACTGGGACTTGTTATGTAGCAACTACATGAAGAGAAGTATTTAATCACAGTAACAATATATAAATTTACACTAACTGATTTTCTTAAAGGATATCTCTAGAATATCACACTTTGAAAACACTTTCTAACCTCAACAGTTTAGACAACTGGATTATAAATTTCTTAAAAATGAGCATATTCTTCTCTATCTTCATCATAGTACATAATGCAAAGTTCTATACAAATGACTACTTAATGTTTATTTGCCACAATGAAAAGCTGTGTTTTAGCCAGGTTAGAAATGAAGTTATAGTCTGATGGGTAGGTGACCAGATAACTCTGGCCTGTGTAGTAAGAAGGGCTGTGGCACACCTCTCGATTCCTCATTTCCAAGAGGCTATGGAGTACTGGCCAAAGGCCCTGCAGAGCAGGCTACCAGATACCCTCCTTCTAACCAACTTCCTTCTTTAGAGAAAGAGGACCATTTCTTCAGTATCCTGAAGATGGTTGTCTCTTATTCAACTTAAAGACACTGGCTAACAATATTTTAATCAGTATGCAGTTTCTTAGCAGTATCAGGCTTGGTAGAAGGAGGTAAACAAAAACTTTAGGAAATTAAATGAAAACAAGAAGCTGCCTTTGATCTGTGCTGTCTATTGTAATTTAGGGATGTGGAGGAAATGGAGTGAGGTACTCAGTAAAACTGTCTACACTTTAGGCTTAAGTAAAGGGTCCTAACACATGGAGCCAGAGAAGACGGGATGAGCTTTGAGGAGTACTCATACAACAGTGCAGAAAGTAGCCTGAGAGAAATGTGCAGCACTTAGGCAGCAGTACCCACTGTATTCAAGCAACAATGCAAATATGACAAAAAGTAGAACAAAACAACACATCACCCGGAGGAAGCAGATATTGTAAGCTACCAGGAATTGAAGTCACATACTGGCATTCTGATTTCTCAAAATATAGAAAACATTTAGTGGAGTAGGAGAAAATCAAGCATGATATCATTTATATGGCATTGTTAAAACTAAGATGCTCTTTACTCATTTAGAAAGAAAAGTAGAATTTTTGTCTTATACTTGGTTCATTCAGAGTCTACCAAGATTAAAATATTCAAAACCTTCACTTTTTGGGCAAAGCAGAGCGCGACCCTAGTTTCTTGGCATTACCCAAGGATCAATGATAGAGGGAAATTAAAATTATTACGTTTCATAAGAATTACAGATAGAGATAGAGAAACGGACCATTTTATTGATCTTTATTTCAGCTATTTACTTCTTCGACAAAAGTCCATTAGGCCATGCTGCCTGACAGGAGACCTTCTACTGAAGATTTAGTGAGTTATCTGAGCTTCACTGGCATAATGAAAGCCTCCCAAAAGCTTTAAGAACCACCTAACATCAAGGAGTAATTTTAAATAAGAAATTCCCAATTTATAATAACCTATTAAAATAATTTTTAGAGGAGAAAATGTAGAACACAGATCATTAGCCTTAATGCAGAAAGAAAAACCAGAAAAGCTTCCAACATGTCTCTAGGAAGCATTCTCAGTGGGTTATTTTGTTCTTCTAAGCCGATTTGGTTGGTGCACAGATAAGGATGTAGTTGAGAAGTCCTGAATTTCATTTAATAATTGAAGCCTCAAAAAAAAATCTGACCCTTTCAAGAAGGTGACCTTTAAGGGGTGATATGCTTAAAAAAATGTGATGAGCAGTTTACTTTGCTGGGAAGAAGGCAATTAAGGAAGAATAAAGCCTAGGAGATGAAAAACATGCGCCGAGTCAAGCATGAAAACACTTCTGGGTATGGGAGCACAAGGCTGTCATTCCAGCATTTGGGAGGCTGAGCCAGGAGGACTGCTGTGAGTTTGAGGTTATTTGGGCTACATGGTGTGTTCCAGGCCAGCCTTAAGTACATAGCAAGATCTTGTCTCAAAAAAAAAAAAAACACCAAAAAAACAAAAACAAAAAAACAAACAAAAAAAAAAACAATAAAAACACTTAGGTTCAAGAACCAAAAGTATAGCTTGAAAGGGGATTGAAAATGGAAGCTAAACACAATGAAAAGACAAAACAACAATAATGATGATGATGTAAACTGAGAAAATAGTGTGCCAATTTGAAGAGCTCTGACCAAGAAACTCTCCTATCTTGGTCACTCAAACTAAAGTTCTGCTGTTTCTCACTGCCTAAAAGCCCATGCCGAGCACTGGTCCAAGTGGAGTTTGAAAATGCTACCACTGGGGAAGGAGACATTTCATTGCTTTTAGTGTGAATTTCACTAAAGTTCTTTCTTTTTCAAAAGATATTTAATTGGTGCTTTTTTGTTTTAATTTCTTTCTTTTTTTTTTGAGGCAAGGTGAGTGTGAAGGTAGTATCTGAGCAGTTACGGTCAAGCAGGAGAGGAGGGGAGTGGAGATAGGTGCCTAATGTACAAAAGAGGAGGGGATATCCTGTCTCCAGCTCTTTTCAATTTCACCCAAGGTTTATGCTGCCTGTGGAAATCTAGGAGTGAAGCAGAGACTGATCACTACATTTCCTTTTCAAATGACGTACAGCTCATAACCCTGTGATGATATATTCACTTCAACAGCGATTCTTTAAGAGTGCACCAAGACAGTCTCTAGTTCTCATTTGTACATGAGAGAATATCCTAGGCAAGGAGCAAACAGGCTTCCTTCACTGACCACAAGCAGCAGCTCAGCTCCCATGGTGCTGTTCGGAAGTAAGCTTTGAGCCCTTGTGTGAACTCACAGGTGTCCTGTCTTAAGTAGGCACTGCCCAAGCCACACTTCTGCTCCTATTCACAGCTTAGACTGGGCACCCTGGTAGAAGGAGCAACTTGTGCAAATGTGGGGGTCTTGGGACAGATAAAAACCCTAGAACTATCACCTCTAAAACTTTTTATTTTGGTTTCATTAATATGATTCCTGAATGACTTAGGAGAAAGTATCTCACATTCTCTGTACTCCAGTTAGTCCTGGTTTCCTTACCTTTATTTTATTTTGTTTTATTTTTTTTTTTAGAGAAGGGTCTACAGGGTCCATACAGGTTGTTCAGGGTCTCACTACTAGATCAGACTCATAGTGATCCACCTGTTTTCAGCTTCCCAAGAGCTAGGATTACAGGCTTGTACCACCACGCCCAGTCTCAAATTTTTAACTGCTATGGTGGATTTTTTTTTTTTTTTTCAGTACCAGGGATTGAACTCACGATCTTGCACTTGCCAGGCAGGCATTTATGCCACTGAGCTATCTCCCTAACCCTTCAGTACCTTTAATCAATGAATAATAACCAAGTCTAAAATCCTTCACCCCACACCAAAGAACCTATATGGATATTTCAGCATAGTGTTTTACTCAAAACAAAATTTAAAATTATTTTTTAACTTATATGGCTCAAAATGACTTATCTTCCATTTGAAATGCATAATAATTCATTTAATTAAAGTAGTGTTTGGGTAGGTTATCTGAAAATTGTAAAGAAAATACAGACTTCAATATTTAAAGAGTTACTGTAAAAGCAGCAGTCAGTATTTCTCCCCTAATGGGACTCTGATCAGAACATGTTCAGAATCAGGCTGTCTCTGAAGGACTGCTGGTTCTATGAATACTACCCTAGACAATAATCATGGTTTCTTTTAAACAAAATCTATATTGTATGATTTGTTCTATATGAGAAACCCAAAATATACATAAGTTATAGAACAAAATAAAGGATAACAGGATACAGAGAGACAGATCTTTGGCACAGGGGTAGGGGATGAAGAAAGAATTGAGATGTAAATGTACATGCACCAACCTTCCTCGATGAATATCACCATTGTGTACTGTAAACATGTACTAAAAATGATGAAAAGTCCACCTATCATTAAAATATACACTTAACATCAGATTCATTGACCTGCAGAGACTATCTCAACAAAGGAGGGGAGGAATATGATTATTTACTCTTGTCTGGTAATTATTAAGGCAAAAGGCCAGGCAGCAACTACAGATCCTAGAAAACCCACGAAGGCTCAACAAGCGTGAAATTTTCTTGCTGGCCCTAACTGAACGTACAGCTGTTATGGGAACCACCTGTCTTTTAGATTTCCCCACACCAGCTGTAATATAGGTCTGAACTATCCTGGATTCCTTTCCAGGTCAGCTGCAACACCAGATGGCTCAGCCTTTGGATTCAGAGGACATGATTCCCTCCTTCTGCAGGTTCTGTTTCAACATCAGTGTAAGGTGGGTGGTTAAATGTCTACAATACCCAGATGCTCTTCGGTGGTCAGTGGCTGCAACACTTATCAGAGGGCCCTGTTCCTCAAGCCTGTGTTCATGTCAGAAACCCACCTTTTCCCTACTGTCCATGCAGTACAGAGGAAAGGGGCTTGCTCCATCTTCTTTTAAAAAAGGAGTGGCTGACTGGGGGACCCCGGGGGTCAGCAGAGGCTGATGTAGTTTGATGAGTCAGGTGTTCAGCAAGTCTCAGCTCTGCTATTTCTGCCTAATGCTGGTAATTTTCTGCTGCACATTTTCCTAGTTTGCTCACTTGACATTAATAAGCACTTAGACTTTACAATTTTGCCAACTTTATCCATTCATTCAGGAGTTCCTGCCAGGGCAACAGCCAAATTAGAAAAGACAAATGTGATGTCCCACACCCAGGTTTCCTTTTGACATACACATTGTAACAATTTCAACAATCCACTGGGTGAGTAAAAGCTTTGGAAGTTAAA